TTTAGGGAATATCATTTTCAATCCATTTGCAATACTTTTGGTGATGATTTTTAAAGTCACGTTACAAAGTAATATAGGCATAGAATCGTTAGACTTTGATAGACTTTTAGTAATATATTCAAAATAAAGGTGTTTACATTATCATTAAGCATAATAAGTGTCATTATAGTAAAGTCTTAACCTATCTATAATGTCCCACTAGGTATGAAAGAACATTTATGGGAAGCCATATGGGTTCAGGTTCCAGGCCCTTCAATTATTTTCCAGCTTTTACAGTGTTCTCGGTAGTGAAATCTTGTTGCAACATGTCAAATATATACATGTTTATTCTATTTTCACCATGGAAACCACACCATTATTAGCGTTAGCATTAAGGGTCGAGGAAGAAAATAGGTTCATAAAAAAATTTATGAAAACATTTTCAATGTATTTAGATCATTTATGCAATTACTGTGAGTGTTCAAATTAGTCTCAACTATATTCATTTATGTCGTTAGATCATCTTTTGGTGGAAGAGATGATTTTTTGGCTGTTTTGGAGCTATAATGCTTTGACACTTTGATTTAACATTCTTTCATATAATGAAGAATGTCAACATGTTCAACTTCGTTCTCTTTGATTTGTTTTAAAATTTTGGGGTCCCACTAATCTGGTTTATAGAGTCTAATTTTGTTGTGATCCTTTTGATTTTTCTAAGAATGTTATCAAATTTATCGTTTCCTCACAATTAGATTCACTTTAGTGTTTTATCCAAATTATAGGCGTAGTTGGAGCCATGCCAAACGTTTCTTATGTTTTTTTTCACATACATAATACTGCATCCAAATCTTCTCAATTGTTTTTATATAGATGTTTTGATTTATGCAAAAAAAAGGTTAGTGGAAAAAGAGATACAAACATGGGAGTGGTCAGAGAAATATTTGGTAAGATGGAGATTAGCATAATTATGATACTTATTAGACTAGGTAGAGGATGCTAAAAATTGTTTCAACATGGCATTTACGTGATTGTTTTCCAGTTGATTATTAGTCCAAGTGTATGCTTCCTTCGCAAACCCCAAATCCTAAAAATTACAAGCCTATAACGTATATCTAAAAAGATTTTCTCACATTATTAAGATCCATATTACGATTCCTGAAAGCAAGCCACCTATTACAATAGTTAACATGAATATTACAATAAACATTAAAAGCCAAATTTTGCAATAGATCACAGGTTATTATTATTATTATTATTATTATTATTATTATTATTATTATTATTATTATTATTATTATTATTATTAGGAAATTAATACACACCAATAAAACGCAAAAAACAGTTATTGAGGTGATTTGGAATAATCATATCAATGTAGTTAAAAGTGTTTGGTTTTTTATTCCCACGTTAATATAATTGTACCACAAGATGACTAGGCTATCGAATTTGCCTCCACTAGTAGTAGAACATTCCATGACCTAATAATTTACAACAAAATGAGAAAAATAAACATTTGTGAAAACATTTTCAATGTATTACAGATCATTTATGCAATTACTATGATTGTTTAAAATAGTCTCAAATATATTCTTTTTATGTCGTTGGATCATCTTTTGGTAGAAAAGATGATTTTTTTGTTGCTATTTTGGAGATATAATGCTTTGGAACTTTGATTCGACATTCTTTCTTGTAGTGAAGAATGTCAACATGTTCAACTTCGTTCTCCTTTATCTATTTTTAAATTTTGGGGTCCCACTAATCTAGTTTATAGAGTCCAATTTTGTTGTGATCCCTTTTGATTTTTCTAGGAATGTTACTAAATTTATTGTCTCCCCAAAATTAGATTCACTTTAGATTTCTATCCAAATTATAGGCGCAGTTGGAGTCATGCCAGACGTTTTTTATGATTTTTTTCACATTCATAATCTTGCATCTAAATCTTCTCAACTATTTTTATATAGAAGTTTTGATTTGTGCAAAAAAGGTTAGTGGAAAAAGAGATACAAACATGGGGGTGATCAGAGAAGTATTTGGTAAGATGTAGATTAGCATAATTATGATACTCATTAGACTAGGTAGAGGATGCTAAAAATTATTCCAATATGGCCTTTACGTGATTACTTTCCCATTGAGTATTAGTACAAGTGTATGTTTCCTCCACAAAACCCAAATCCTACAAATTACAAGCCTATCAAATATATCTAAAAAGATTTTTCCACATTACTAAGTTTTATATTATGATTCCTGAAAGCAAACCACTTATTACAATAGTTAACATGAATATTACAATAAACATTAAAAGCCATATTTTATAATAGATCACAAGTAATGTGTTTTTTTTTTGTTATTAGGAATTTTATACACACTAATAACACACAAAGAACAATTACTGAGGTGATTTATAATAATCATATCAATGTAGTTAAAACAGGTATTTTTCACGTCAATATAATTGTACCATAAGACGACTAGACTACTGAATTTTCTCCCACCAGTAGTAGAACATTCCACAACCTAATAATTTACAAAAAAAAAATACAAAAACTAAACATTTACGAAAACATTTTCAGTGTATTGCAGTTCATTTATGCAATTACTATGATTGTTCAAAATAGTTTCAACTATATTTCTTTTATGTCGTTGGGTCATGTTTTGGTGGAAGTGATGATTTTGTGTGTGGATATTTTGGAGCTATAATGTGTTGGAACTTTGAGTCGACATTCTTTCTTATAATGAAGAATGTCAATAAGTTCAACTTCGTTCTCCTTGATCTGTTTTAAATATTTGGGGTTCCACTAATTTAGTTTATAGAGTCTAATTCTGTTGTGATCCTTTTGATTTTTCTAGGAATGTTACCAAATTTACTGTCTCCCCACAATTAGATTCACTTTAGTGCTCTATCCAAATTATAGGCGCAGTTGGAGCCATGCAAAATGTTTCTTATGATTCTTTTCACATTCATAATCTTGCATCCAAATCTTCTCAACTATTTTTATATAGACGTTTTGATTTATGCATAAAAGGTTAGTGGAAAAAGAGATACAAACATGGAAGTGGTCAGAGAAATATTTGGTAAAATGGAGATTAACATAATTATGATACTTATTATACTAGGTAGAGGATGCTAAAAATTTGTTCAATAAATATAACCACAAAATGTCAAAATATAACTGCAACTCAAATAAAATCATTTTAGTTGTTCAAAAACATTTGAAAATTTGGACAATAGAGTAGCAGCCACATATTTTTAACTCACATCAGAATCCAAATCAAAACAAAGAAAAATATTTTTTTGGTCTTAAAACTTGGTTTTATAGGGAAATGGTCCTGATAATCTGGGTTAAGAGGTAAGTAATGTCAGGTGAAACATTGTTCCAGCTAGTGATCAAACTCGGATTCTCACAACTGATTCGACCTAAACTATAATTGAATATAAAATTAACACAATAAAATGGAAACCAATATAAAGAAGTTAGGACAAATTAAAGATCTCACTTGTATATTTTTTTCATGCTTTTTAAGAATCTTTGCAACACTAAGTAACAATAACATATGGGCATCATGACCACAAACGTGCATTTTTTCAACTACTTTCCTCTTATGCTCATACTCCATCATTTCCTAAGATTCAAACAATATATATATATATATATATATATATATATATATATATATATATATATATATATATATATATATATATATATATATATATATATATATATATATATATATATATATATATATATATATATATATATAACAACAAAATGCAAAATTTAAGAAAATAAAGTAATGAATGAACCTAAACCTACACGAGAAGAGTGTCTATATCATATCTTAAAGCAACAAAAGATCAGCTATAACTGCAAAAATAATAAAACAAAGTTAGTTACCGAAATAGAAATAGGAATAAATATAGATAATCAACAAAGTTGGAAGGGACAGCGGTATATAGAGTGGAGAAAATGACAGTGGTAAATTTAGGATTTGTGGGGTGAGAGAGAGAGATGAGATGAAAAGTGTAGAATGAGAAAAGAGATAATTTGAAATTACGATGGAGACTAATTAGAGTGTATTGCAAAGAGAGATATGTAAGTGTTTTAATTGGGACACTTGTTGATTACCAATTTGTCTAAATTGTAGTGTAAATAAAAATCAGGGGAAAAACAAATATGTAAGCGCATGTAATAATATTTTGAAGGGTTGATAGTAGATAATGGATGAAAAAGATAACGAAATAGAAAAAGAATTAAAAATAGATTATAGTGGAGCAAGAGAGACTCAAAATGCGAAACAAAAAAAAAAAAAAAAAAAAAAAGAGAAAGAGGACAAAATTTGAGGTTAGAGGTATATTATTATTTTGGGTAGATAAACAACAGCAAAATTAAAAAGGGGAAATAAAATATACAAAAACAGAAAGCTTAATCATGTACATCTAAATGATCAAATAGATGAAAAATGTTGAAAGTTAGGGTAACTTTCCCTCATTAAAGTCATTTAGTCTTAATCACTTATTCCAATATTTCAATATTCTTACGTTTTCGTATCCAACCACGCATTAAAACTCAAGTTAAGTTTAAAAAAATAAAAAATGTTTTTAAAAAATTAAAAAGGTGATTAGTAAAGAAGTATTTTATATTTAAAAAAATGATAATGAAGGGTGGTTAGGGTAGTGGATATGGTGCAGTAACTATAATTAACTACATGATAATATGATTTAATTATCTTTCCAGTTCAATTAATTAATTAATTAAAATAAAAAAAGAAAAAGAAAAGAAAAAAAAAAGAATGAAGAATAGTCAACGTGTTCCAAGTTCCAACAATGAACACAAGCAACAAGAACAACAAGGTGTCTGAACTCAACAACAACAACACGATCTCTCATAACAATTGAATGCAAAAACTTCCAGAGAGAGAGAAACAAGGTCTTCATATTGAATTCAAACTCGCCGTCGACCACCGGAAAAACTCGCCGTCGACTACCGGAGAGAGATGAATCTCTGACATCCACCAAAACAATGACAACGCAGGAAGAAGCTGATTCATCCACCCTCGCCGCATCTCCAGAAGGTCACCACTCTCTTTCTCTCAGCAACTTTGGTTTCTTCTTCTTCCTAAACGATACATTTCATTGTCGTTTTGTTTCTATTTATAGTTTATGTCTTTTTTTCTATTCTTGCTCAGTAGTTGGAGGAAGAGAGAACAACGGCATAAACACCGAGCTATGGCAAGCTTGTGCTGGACCTCTTGTCAATCTCCCTTTACCTGGAACTCATGTCGTTTACTTCCCTCAAGGTCACACCGAACAAGTAAGTCGACACCGGAAACACGACACCGACCCTGATACATCGACACCGATAATAATTTGAAAAAATAATGTCAATATCGGTTTCGGACACGGATTCATGTATGTACTTAGGCACTTATATGATAAATGTCTGTGCTATAATAATTGGTAGCTTAGCTTTAGCTTTAGCTTTAGCTTACATTCATTTTGTTTCAGGTTGCGGCGTCTTTGAAGAAAGATGTGGATGTTCAAGTACCAAACTATTCCAATCTTCCATCGAAACTACCGTGTATTCTTCAAAGTCTCACCTTACATGTATGCTGGATTTTTTCGTTTTAGCTTTGTCTATATTAGTTCTGCAAGAGTTTGTTCCCGTGTTCTAATTTTCTCCGTTTGTTGTGGTTGTCTTTCCAGGCAGATTCTGATACAGATGAAGTATACGCCCGGATGACGCTTCAGCCAGTGTCTTCTGTAAGAACACCATATGCCATGTCCTAGAAATTTGGAAACTTTCCTAATTCACGTGATTTGCTGACATGATTTGTGCAGTTTGACATGGATGCCTTATTAAGATCAGATATTTCTCTCAAGTCGAGCAAGACGCAACCTGAGTTTTTCTGTAAACAACTGACAGCGAGTGATACGAGTACTCATGGAGGTTTCTCTGTACCTCGCCGTGCTGCAGAGAAGATTTTCCCCCCTCTTGTATGCTATTACTTTTTTACAATTTTTTTTTTCGATTCCTCGACTAGATCTTACTTTAGAGTTTAATCTGGTTAATGTTTCTATATAGGATTTCTCTGCGCAACCTCCTGCTCAAGAACTTGTGGCAAAGGATTTGCATGGTAATGTCTGGAAATTCCGCCATATATACCGTGGTATGTTTACATAAATCTATCTCAAAATTTGAAATTCCTGCTGACATCTTGTCGAGCACACTTCTGAAAATATCTTGTCTTTCCACGATCTTCATAACCAGGACAACCGAAACGTCACTTGCTTACAACTGGATGGAGTCTATTTATCAGTGGAAAAAGGCTTTTAGCTGGAGACTCAGTTTTATTTATACGGTAAGAGTAATAGTCGTTGGTGTGCTATCAAACTTTATCATTTTGGCTAAACTCATTTAAGGTAGCAACCTGCGGTCTTACTAGATATCGTGATTTTGGTTGCTCTTGGCAGAGATGAAAAGCAGCAGTTGCTTTTGGGTATCAGACGAGCAAACAGGCAACCGGCCAACTTATCATCCTCAGTGCTATCGAGTGATAGTATGCACATCGGAATTCTGGCTGCAGCAGCTCATGCTAGTGCAAATAATAGTTCGTTCACAGTGTTTTATAATCCTAGGTCAATATCTGTCACTGACTTTATTCTGACAGAATGAATGCATAGTTTCTTCGATTGCCAGTTCTCGTTGCCGTATCAACTTGTAGCCTCAGTTCTTACGCTTACATCCTTTATGTGCAGGGCGAGTCCCTCAGAATTTGTTATTCCATTGGCCAAATACTACAGGGCAGTATACAGCCACCAAATATCACCTGGCATGCGCTTTCGAATGATATTTGAAACAGAAGACTCGGCAACAAGAAGGTGCTTCATTTTGTGACTATGTATCGTTAGGGTAGTTTGGTGAAACATGCTAACTTGGAAATAAATCTTTGATATTGAATATTTGAAACAATACCGCATTTTATTGCAGATATATGGGTACAGTTATAGGTGTCAGTGATCTGGATTCCGTGAGATGGAAAAACTCGCAGTGGCGTAATTTACAGGTACAGTTTGTGTCATCTTTTAGCAATTCAATGAGGTAAAATTTATCATCCATAAGTAGTTGAATTTCGAATCACTTGTACTTCAAAAATAAATTTCTTCAACTTCAAGCTGTTTTTTGTAAGTTACTCGTAAATTTTCAGGTTGGTTGGGATGAATCTGGTCCTGGGGAAAGACGGAGTAGGGTCTCAGTCTGGGAAATTGAACCGGTTACTGCTCCATTTTTCCTTTGTCCGCCTCCATTCTTCCGATCCAAAAGACCAAGACAACCCGGAATGCCTGGTAAACGTTGGATTTCTCTTTTCAGAAACCTCTGGTTCATTCTTCCATTCTTGACCTTTGCGCTTGTTTTATCTAAACTTCTATTACTTTTTTTTGCAGATGATGAGCTAGTTGATTTCAGTAACCTTTTCAAGAGTACAATGCCTTGGCTTGGTGATGATATGAGTATGAAGGATCCACAGGCTTTCCCTGGCATGAGCTTAGCTCAATGGATGACCATACAGAAAAATCCTGCTCTGGCAAGCTCGTTGCAATCAAATTACGCACCTTCTTTGTCTGGATCCGTTCCACACAATCTTCCCGGCACAGATATTGCTCATCAATTGGGACTTAATGCTCAACAAATCTCTCAGTCAAACAATGTAGCTCTCACTGCTCCGGTTCACACGCCGCCATCCATTTCACAGCCTGAGCATCAATTGAGTAATATTACTCAACATTCTAGACAGAACTTGGCAAATCAAACTCTACCACAGAGTCAAGTTCCGACTCAACTTCTTAATTCTCAGAGCATGGTCCAAATGAATAATGTTCTTCAATCACAACGACCATCCATTCAAAACCATGAACTCCATAGAAGTTTCTCTCAGAACCAACTGCAGCAGCTTCAACAGATGTGTCAGAACCAACAGCCAAATATGATTCATTCCACTATTCCAGATCACAATAATCAACAGTTGCATATGTCTGATAATCAAGTTCGAATTCAGTTGTTACAGAAGCTTCAACAGCAACAACAAACATTCTTGGCTCAGCAATCTACATTGCAGCAGCCTGCTCAGCTTGTTCAAAACCAAGACCAGCAGAGGCGACTTTTAGATGATCTAACACAAACACACAGCTCTAAGGTCCTAACTCCCGGTCAATTGTTTGAAATTCCTCCTTTGCTTCAAAACTCACTGCCCGAGGCTAATTCTATGATCCATCAGATGACAGATCATAGTAGCCAGAACAATGTTCAGTTCTCTCATCCATCCAAACAACCAAAGCTTCAACATCATCAACAGCAAACGCAACCCGGCTTGCTTTCTAAAACATCCAGTCATCTTGGACTTCCTTCTGCTACTACAAATAATCAGTTGTCTGCTTCTGGTTGTAGTACACGCACTGTAGCAACGGGAACTGCACCATCTATTATTACTGATGATGTTCCTTCTTGCTCCACTTCACCATCCACAAATAATTGTGCCAGTACGCTTCCTCCAGCGACAGCATCCCATACCCTTATGGGAACAATAGGGAATGACATGGCTCAGTCTGCTGTGACAATCTTGAGTCAAAGTTCTAATGCAAATGTGGTAAAATATGTACAGCCAAATTATCAAGTTAAGCCTGGTTTAAACATTTCTGAAAGTCACAACCAAGGAAATTTTTACCCTGAGACGTGCTTGAATGGTGGTGCTGTCCAGACAGATTGTTTGGATACATCGTCTTCTACAACTTCAGTTTGCCTTTCTCAGAGCAATACACGCTTTCATCAAAATGACAACCCGTTACCTTACAATCCACCGTCGATGTTCTGTAGAGACAACATTCAAAATGTGAAAATTCAGGCTGATGCTAGGGGCAATGTTTCATATGGCAACAGCATGAATGGACAAATGAGAATGCCGCCGAATCTAGATTGTACTGTAACCAAAGGCACAACAAGGTCAGACAAGGGTTTCTCAACTAATTTCTCTTCCGCAGACTTACTTGGAGATTACGAAAATAACAGTGATGCTCAGCCAGAACTTTCATCTTCCCTTGTTTCACAAACATTTGGAGTCCCTGATATGACCTTCAATTCAATTGATTCCACCATAAATGATAGTAGTTTCTTGAATACTGGTCCATGGGCTCCACCACCGCCGCCACATCAGTTTCAACGAATTAGAACATATACCAAGGTTAGTAACAGACACGTCTCAATGACGGACATGCCATTCTTAGCTGATATTCTCATGATTATTATGTCGGTTTATAGCTATCTTTCGTTGTTAAGTTAGCTTTTTGTCTTGTAGGTATATAAACGCGGAGCTGTGGGAAGGTCCATAGACATAACAAGATATTCAGGTTACGAGGAGCTTAAACATGATCTCGCTCGTAGGTTTGGCATCGAGGGACAGCTGGAAGATCGACAGAGGATAGGGTGGAAACTTGTCTATGTAGATCATGAAAATGATGTTCTGCTAGTGGGAGATGACCCTTGGGAGTAAGTCCTATTTTTCATCAGATTTACCTTTGTTCTCTTACAATGTTTTTGTAGCTCATTTAATATCGGTTTGTTTCTTATGGATGTGTCAGGGAGTTTGTCAGTTGCGTCCGCTGTATTAAAATACTTTCTCCTCAAGAAGTTCAACTAATGAGTATGGATGGAGGTTTTGGCAATGGCGGTGGCCTTCCGAAACAGGCCGGTAGCAGCTCTGAGGGTGGGAATGCTTAAATGGGTCCATGAATTCACTAACTATTCTTCTTTGTTGGTAACATAATCAATTCTTTGTGGACATACATTATATGGACATTTATGTCTGCTTCTGCACTGTTGAATTATTGGCAACTTTGAAGAGCCTAAACAATTGGTGGCAACTTCCATGAAGGTGTTAAGCTGCCAATTTATCAAAGACTTGCAGCTCAAGCATATCCGAAGCTACATGTTTTTAAGCCAAGTATATGATAGTAGTTGTAATGTAAAGGTGGAACAAATTTTCTGTTGGTATAGTTGAAATATTACAGTATAGTTCAGTGTATCTGCTTTTTAAAGGAATTGTTGACAGTTGAAATGACAGGTGGGGTCTTTTGGTTGGGCCTTTTGTAAACATCACCAGACAGCTAGATTGAGACCATTGAAAAAAAAAATCAGTCTTCCATTAGCCTTATTGTTTCTTGTTTTGTCTACTAGTACCAATGCTAACCTGTGCATTGTCTACTAGTATCAACTGTGGTTTGTTTTGCAGTCAAACTAGTTCACTCAATAAAATACAAGTAAAACAATTTTTCTTTAGTAACATTCCAAAAATATTCAATTACACCCAAGTTTATATAAAATACAATCATAATATTAAAAATTTTCTTGTTGATATCATTTTTTCTCACTCTAAATCTTCACCTCTCTCGTATACATAAATATTAGAAAAACAATAAATAACAAAAGAGAGAATTAAAAACATAAGCAAACAACGATCAATTGGACTTATCATATGTTTGTGTCAAATGCCTCTTCTGGAACTACAAACCAATCATATTATTTATCATATGTTTGTGTCAAATGCCTCTTCTGGAACTACAAACCAAACATATTTAATAATCTTTACATTGACGAATATCACTCTCAAGAAAATTTTAAGCATGACATCCACATTCCAACAATTGTAAAGGACAACGCTGTTTAATACTAAGAAACATGTAACGAGTCTAAACAGGAAAACACATGTTTAATACTAAGAAACATGTAACGAGTCTAAATAGTATTTGAATTTTTAATTGATGATTTATTTGGTCAACATATCGGCTGTATTATGTAGAGTATGAACATTTTTAAATAATATATATTTGGATGCAAACAATTCTCTGATCTTGTGAAATCTCACAACAATATGTTTGGTACTGATGCAACACCTTACATAATATTATCTAGAATAGTATTACATCAAGTGTTATGTTTGGTATTGAGGTAACATACATAAGTGTCTAGACGACACATTGATACATGTAAAACAAAAGTTTACATGAAAAAATTGATACTTGTTTCTCAAAATTCGTCCATACGAACTACTTTATTTGTCCCAAATTATAAGACGTTTTGGTTATTTCACACATTTTAAGAAAAATAATAAATGTTGTATGGAAAAAAAAATTATGTATGATTTTACACTATTGTCCTTCATTAATTATAGAGGAAAGAGAAATTAATAGAATCAAAAGAAGAACGAGAAATAAATAGTATAAGGTATATTAGCAAAAATGTCATTAATGTTGTATTGGGATTGTAATGTAACTTATAATTTGAGACAAAAGTGACTTATAATTTGGAACGGAGGGAGTACAAAATAACATACAACAAAAACAAAAGCCAAAACAACAAAGTCTTCGGGGTCTTCATGTCTTTCCTTTACCTCTCTGTTTTTACCCGATCCACCTGAAATATACAACGTGAATAGGGTGAGAAACTACATCTCAGTAGGGATGGCAACGGGACGGGTCGGGGCGGGTTTAACTATACCCGCACCCGCACCCGCCTCCATGTAACAGACCCGCCCCCGCCCCCAAATCCAATCGGGGGTGAAAATTTACCACCCAGACCCGCCCCCGGTAGAAAACGGGTGCACCCGCACCCGCCCCGCCCCCACCCGCAAAAAATTATTATTTTTTTAATTATAATAAAAATTAGTAATTTAATTAAAAAATTGATTATTTTAATAAATTAATTAATTATTTAATTAAAATTTTAATTAATAAATGAATATTAACTTGATTAATTTTATTATTTTAATTGCAATAAGAATATTAATAACTTAATGAAAAGTATAATTAATAAATAAATATTAAAATAAATAAAATAAGAAAATCAAAATAAAATATATTATTTGGGGCGGGGGGCGGGGGCGGGGGCGGGCGGGTCTTAATGTCTACCCGCACCCGCACCCGTAGTTAAGAACCGGGTTTCACCCGCACCCGCACCCGCACCCAATTAAATCGGATTTCCCCCGTTAATTTCGGGGCGGGCCCGGGCGTGTGTGGGCAGGCCCGGGTTTGTTTGCCATCCCTACATCTTAGTGAAGTTCTCTATCTTATGGGTTCATTCGATTCTAAAAGGTTGCCCTACGCATTCCACAAGACTTATGCTTTACTTTATAAATCAATAAAGTTTCAGACTTGAGATCGCATTAATCTCATACCATGTGAATCTCTTAAACCGAGTTCACATAACCCGTTATCTACCTCAAGAACAAACACAAGTGGGACATCTTTTCCCGACCACGATCGGTCTCTTAAGTTTGGACAGAAGTTAGAGATTTACTTTTCTTATTAGAACATCTCTCTTAACCTGCTACCTCTTATATGGGCCAAACAGGGGTCACGAAAGTCTATCACTGGACCTAACATCTCTCACTGCATGTTACCTCTTACATTGGCCAGACAAAGGTCATAGAAGTCCAAACTATATGCCACGCCCTTCCGCGATTACCACTTATTGTAGCTTGAACTCAGATCACATACGTGAATACCATTCGTTCCCGATCATGGTAGAAAGCTCTAGGCATCCTTAAGGTCCTGATATTCTTCTGTATTCAAATATCGCATCTCTAGGTTCGTTTCCGCTCATGGTAGAAAACTTCAGGCATCCCTAAAGCCTTGATATTCCTCGCATAATCTAATTTAGTTTTACTTAACCGAGTATTTATAACACAGACATACTAGGGCATCTTTCGTGTCTGAATATCGCATCTCTAGGTTCATTCCATTTTTAAACTTAGGGTTGTCTCACAATCTTTCTCTAACCAACTAGGGTTCATACTTTACTAAGTAATCAACTAAGTTTTCATTCATGCATACTATAATATTAATCATAATTAGTCATGAATAAGGCTCACAATTAGTCATGAATAAGGCATACAAGTATGACATCACATTACAAGTACAAGTCATAACACCCAAGTCACAAAACAAAGGCATACAATTGAGAAATACCAAAGTTACAAGGGGGTGTGACTAGTTACACTATATGGGTAATCGGTTACGCCAACTCCCTGTCTTAGGAATTATGAAGAATTCCTGACATGTAACCGGTTACACAAAATCTCTGCCTCGGAAAAATCATATTTTTTCAAACATGTAACCTGTTACACTTTTAGTGTAATCGGCTACACTTGCAAAAAATTTCAAAATTTCATGTTTAACCCAACTTTTCCAACAATGCAAGCATGATCAAACAAACCCCAACCTCGTGTTACATGCTAAGAGGTTCATATTACCACAAAACAACACGTGCAAGCATTGTTCACTCAAGATGATTTTACATCAAGAATGTATTTAACTAGGACTTTTAACATATCATGCATTCGTGGAATTGAGACGTACTCATGTTTTCTAGTCACAATTAATCCCTATTCTCTAATGGAAAGAATTGAAATACAACTAACATCATTCAACAAACCATAATCATGATTCTAGAACAAGCAAAAGTAACGACATGTAATTCAAAATGAGTTCTAATTCTTATATTTTGAGCTTACATATTGGACTGCTTAATGACCATATTGCCCCATTAAACAAAATCTATGAAGCATGCCACTTATAACGCCCCAAAATAATTATAATATTTATTTAATTGATTTATTATAAATATTTGTGATTTCGGTGAATTTGGTGAAATGTTTTGAAGTCTGATGATTTGTGTTGGGAGGTATTGTTGATGTTAAAAAGGTGTTGAGGATAATTAGGAATGTATGATTAATTAGAATTATTTTAATAATAATAATAATAATAATGGAATAATGTGAATAATCTTATTTAAATTATTATTATTATTTTAAATAATAAGAAGGGAACACTGAAGGTAAGATGGTAATGTTGGGTGGAATAAGTGGGGATAAAGTGGGGAAATCATATTAAAGGTCCAAGCGGTAAGAGTGACATAAAGGAAAATAGGGAAGTGAGGAATTTATTCTGAACAATCGTGTTTTGGAGAGCGACTATGAGGAATAATAGAAAAAGAGGTTAGGGCTTAGAGCAATTCCAAAAAAAACTCAAGAAGAGGATTGGAAATCGAATTGTTTAAGGTAATAGGGAGTATCACTTGTCATTATAATTGATATAAGGGTAGATGTACGTAGGTAGTTGGGCAGTTTGGGTAAACATGACGAGATTGTGATGAAATTGGGGTTTTGATTTGTATGAGATTGGTATGTATAAAACCTATTATGACGTGTTGTTGTTATTGTGTTGATAGTATTGTAAATTATGAGTAATTTTGGACTGTTTGATGCTATAATCGCAAGGAGAATTGGGTCTGAACTGCTGCAGAATTGCAACTGAGAAGTTGCAGGTTTGCAACTTTTTGTCGAGCGAGTTCCCCGTATCGCCGGGCGAAGTATTTTCTCCCCAGCCTCGTCAGGTGAAAGTGGGAGCAAGAAGAGGATGAAATATGGGTGCTCCTGATTTTTGTATGAAGGAAGGGATTCGCCTCTGCTTCGTTGGGCAAAACCCAGACGAGCATGAGAAGTAGTTTTATTTATATCTTTTTCTTTTTCATTTCTTTTCGTTTTCTTTGTTTTGTTATGTTGTCTTGTGCCTTGTTGTTCGTATGCCTTGAGTGGTTGACGTGTTGCATTTTAATGAGTATAACGTGTTGATGTGTGATATAATATGTGGACTTGTGATGCATAATGATGATATAATACTATGATGTTTTGATGGATTTTTATGAATGATGACGCAACCTTT